TCACGTCATCTTGTTTGGACAGGTAGTATATGATGACGAATCGAAGATATTTGTCATTCGTTTTTTTTTTTTTTTTTTTTTTTGTGTGTGTGTGTGTGTGTGTGTTGGTGTACGAATCGAAGGTCCTCCCTACTCCTCTTCCCTCCTCTTCCCTCGTTCCTCCCTCATCCGTCATCGCCATAGTCCTTGTCCTCCCTACTCCTCTTCCCTCCTCTTCCCTCCTCTTCCCTCGTCTTCCGTTCGTAGGGACTGCAAGTGTCAGCAGGGGCGACAGGGGCTTGCTGGAAAGATGGACGGTACCGGTAAGGGCATATGGGAAACTTTACTGCTGTTTCTCAACGGGCAGCCGGTAGGGGCATACTGAAAATTTGGTACCGGTACCGGTAGGGGCATATGAAACATTTTTGAGGCCCAAACAACGCCAGGGGTATTCTGGAAACATCATTCGTCGTCAGAGGGGCACGACAAGGTAAGTCGGCCGCCAGAGGGGCACGCTGCAAATAAACGAAAACTTCAGGGGCATTTCGAAAATTTTCCCTTTTTTTTTTTTTTTGGAAAGCTTCAACAGAACTTTGCAAATAAATGGGACGAGGCCGGGGACCTCACAATTCAACCCGGGGTTATCCTTGCAGCCTCAGCCAGTTTCGCTTAAACCACCAGTACCTCCTAGAGTTGCGCCCGTTAAAGCGCCTCTGTGGCTTAAGAACATTGCTCAGAATCCGTCCTCTGCTTCCAGCTCTACCCATACGCCTGCTGGAAACCGGGTCCAGCGTCCCATACTTAAACAAAAAGTCAACTTTCCAAAAATTAGGCCTTGGTTTCCTGCTCTTCCCTGTGTACTCTTTCCTCTGAAACAATGGACCTCAGTAGGGTGGAGCCCATGAACCCAAGGAAATAGCCTTGGTTTCCCTAAATAGTGGTTAAAGTGCAGTATCCAAGGAAGGCTACAATAGTTGACATTGTCTCCTAAGGACCTAACCTGGGTCCTTGTTAGTCATGTGTGCCTGATAGCCACGGGCAAGCGGCAAAGCAACCTTCTTGGTCTATTGTCACCATTCTGCTGTCCAACGCCCGGGTTTTTGCAAACCAAATAAAGTTCTTCTGCTGCCAATCGGCATGGATAGTTCTTCGTATCGACTGCTTTACTTGTCTGTGTTCGCAGCCAGGAGGCTGCGCCTTGTGTGGTTTGCATTTCATCGTTTCGTGTTCTTTCCATTTTGGGTAATGTCGTGCAAGTACAGCGTTGCTAGGATGGGTCCGTCTGGGGTTTCCGAAAGCAGAAAAAGGGTCCGGTCGCAGTCGTCCCTAAGACTGGTCACAGGGCAGGTTAGCTTGTCCAAGTCGTTCGAAAAGCAGCATAAGCCGCCGTCCACAGTTTCGCTTTTGAGGGGTGGCGTTTTTTCCCGATTCAAAATAGAGGCGGACGATTTGGTCCTGGGGCGTTTCTGCTTTTGTTTTTTTTTTCAGTTTGAACTGCATCTCCC